AGTTATAATAAAGTGATACCAGTTAGTCTAATTCCAAAAAAAGTGAAGTGTTTCTTTAAATTTATAAAGCAAAAATCTGAATCGCAAGATGGAAACTCGGATGAAAAGATGGAAAAATGTGGGAATGCTTAATGTAGAATACTTACTCTAAAAGTATAGTTTATACCATGCTAGAAGTAAGCCTTTCACAGACTACCACAGAATCATCCACTGAGCTGCAGCATGTTTCTATTTTGCAGCTCGCTCTGAAAGCCCGCAGCCATGTACACCTGGAGTGAAGCAGATTGATATAATGACCCGTCATGTGGCAGCTCTGCACTGTGTCAGATCAACATTACTTACCCTTACCACTATAACCTCCTTCCTCCTCTCTCTCTCTCTCTTTCTCTTTTCATCTTTCGTCTACACCTCACATTATTAACCTTTCTCTTCATCACAAAACACAGTCTGTGCTTTGGCTCTCTCATCACTGGGTGCTTTTTTCCCCCCTCTTCTTCTTCACGGCTGCCCTCAAGAGGAACTAGAAGGGGGGTGCTTGACAAACGGGCCATGAGCACCGAGTCGAGAAGGACGCAGATGTCAAAGCTATGAATCTTGGGACACTGCCTTCCCTTCGCCCCCACTTCCCTCCCTCACTTTCTCTCTGGCTTCTCTGTTCAGGTGCGGGACGGTCCCGTGTAGCACCCAATCAGAGCTCACCTGCGTCTCCCAAGACAATCACTCATAGCTGTGCTAATCAGAGAAAATGAGGTGACAAATCCACTCCAGGTGTGTGTGTATGTGTGTGTGGTTTTTCACCCCAAGTGACACTCACAGGGTCACACAGGGAAGGCTTTCGATGTACAGGCTGGAGGTTATAACTCGCCAGTCACGATCCTGTCATCTGGAAGACGAGGTTTTGATGGCGCACACTTTATTGTGGCGCAAGAGTGAATGTGCACCCTTAACCCTTGATTAAAGGTCAGACCAAGTTGGAGAGATGTAGTCCATCATGGCTTTGTGTCTTGGAGCTTCTCTTGGGATGGCTGTATGGTACTGTCTGCTCTCGATTGGCAGTCTATGGATTTTGTAGGTCTTGCTTAATTACAAGAAACATTTTGGAGGGTTTCTTGTCATGATTAGAGAGCTGTTCTGCTATGTTCGGATTGTGTTGGACTGGATCATCTTTTTTCATCCATTTAAATTATTGACATACTGTATGCATGCATGATATACAATTGAAGTCAAAATGATTAGCCCTACTGTTATTATTGTTTTCTTTCTCAAATATTTCCTAAATGATGTTTAACAGAGCAAGGAATTTTCATTGTATTTATATTAATATTTTTTTCTTCTGGAGAAAGTCTTACTTGTTTTATTTTGACTGGAATGAAAACATTCAGGCGATCTCCAGATCAGCAGGGATTACTTTTAGCTTAGCTTAGCATAGATCATTTAATCAGAATCGACCATTAGCATTTTGCTTAAAAATTTCTAAAAAGAGTTTTCCTATTTAAAGCTTGACTTTTCTGTAATTATATAAAAACGCTGATACAAAGTACAGTTCTAGAAGAGTCTAGCTTTAAATAGGAAAATTATCAAAACTCTTATTTCCCCTTTTTTGTTAGCCAGATGCTAATGGTCTATGCCGAGTTATGCTAAGCTATGCTAAAAGTGCTCCCACCCCATCCAGAGATCAGCTGAATGGATAAAAAAATGGTAAAACTCATCTATTTAACTTCTAGATTACTTGTAAAATTAGCTTATTTGCTCAAAATGTGTTCTTTTAAATTTTTAAAACCAAGATCTGAATTAGAAAATGTAGGCTGAAAAATCTGAATTGCAAGATCGAAACTCAAGGAAAAAATGGGAATAAAATACTCTGAATATGGAAATATTTCATCAACAACAATTCTTGTCTCAGGACAATTTGGAAAATCTTTTTTGATCCATTTCAATTGTTTAATTGCCTCCACCTTTTTCACAGAATTTTGAAAAGCTGACTACTTGAAAGTTTGGTGTAGTGTGAACCTCTTTCGGAGTATCATCCTCAGTCTTTTTTTCTGTTGCCATTTACAAAGTCATCAAGTGATGCTTAGTGTTTTAAAATCTGTTCAGATTTTTTAAAAAGGCGCAGTGTATTCCAGCCTTAAGGCAGACATGCTGGAATAGACCATTCTAGCTTGTTTTAATTGAAAATATTTGCCAATGTAACTGCCTTGTATCCTCTTATAAAAGATAAAAATAAAATAATGATTTGCACTCTTGATGGCAGCGTAGATATTAGCAACATCTGGTTTCTTGAAGTATATAAAATAAACACTGCAGTTTTTAGTTTGTGTCTGATGGGCAAATGTAACAGACATTAAAAACTGATAAATGCACATTTTTTACGATTATGACTATCAGCTGAATTTAGATTTTTTTGCCAGAAGCATGTGCATGGTGACCATTAACATCATCACACAGGGACATTTGCAAGTGCTGGAAACGACTGAAACATTACTGAATGAGACGGTCAAGGCTGCCTTTTACCATTTGATGATAGATGTGCTCATTATTGCACATTTGTGTAAAGGATGAGGTCTAATACGCCCTCACAATGACCAGCAGTCTGCTAAGGTTTAGTTATCAATTATATAAAACCAGAGTTTTTGTATCGACCACAGTCATCTGTATATCAAATGCATGTGGGTAGTTGACAAAGGGGCAGTAAAAATGCTTTGTTTTTCTTTGAAAAACTAATCTATGTTTGTGTAGACTCCAAGTCTGATGCTTGAGAAAATATAAGGAGTCATAACTTTATTAATTCTTAAAAAATATTTTTATACATTTTTGTTAAGTTTTACCCAATCAGCAACCTCCCGCTCCCCCTCGTGAAGGTAATATGGAAGTAACTGAAACTGCAATTCATGGAAATTCTGCTAGTCCTGGCTCCATATAGAGCAAATTTCTATTGACCCCACTGTTAAAATGGGCAACTTTACAGTAGAAAAAAGGTGTTTATCGCCTGGTACAAAGAACGATTTAATGCATTTTTACTTATATTACCCTTCATGACAACTGTGAGGAGGAGGGGGGGGGTGAACTGTGAGGGGGGTGAATTTTATTATAACTCATTGACGATGAGTTTATATTGACGATGCTTTCTATACACAATTATATATTTTACTTCCCACCACAAGAATTGTTGTATTAAAATGTATAATTTTTAAATACATATTTTCTGTGTATTTGTAATACAATTTTGTCCTTTATTACGAGCAGTCAGATATATGAACTGTACCTTTTAATTTTACCTGCTTAAAGAAAACACTCTTTTTGAATGCATCAAACAAAACTCAAGTACATGCACAGAACAACATGAGCATTTAATGCAAATAAAAAAACTTAAATAGTATCCTGCTTTTTGAGCTATGGCTGGTCACATGCTCAACTGAAAGAGCTGTGATTGGTTCTAACGCACTGGCACTGTTTACCGATAAGTGACATTGATAAACAGCAACGGTGATCACTGCTGATTCCAGTTTACTTTTGTTTTCTTCCTTACAGTGAAGCAGGGCTTCTGCATTAACTTCAGTGTCGGTGAATGACTGTCCAGCAAACACATGCAGTGAAATGTGCCGAGTATCTGCGTTTTAATTACTCGCGCTTGCCTTCCTTAGTTTTGTACTGCAAAATTAGATAAAAGATGTAAGTAAATAATAACCGGTTAGGATCCATTACTGAACTGATATTGAAATGTCCGTATCTGCATCGCGGTTCACCGAAGAAACAATCAATTTTGACACCTCTACTTTTGTTGTTGTTGTCAATCTGGCAACCTCTTGCAAGAGTGATTTGTCTTCATTGTTGGAAACTTTTCTTCATGTTGTGCTATTTATTTTATTTGAAATTGAATAATATTTATTTCTTCAAGACTTGTTTGACATAAATCAGGTGTCACTCCAAAGCGGAGGACAAAACTTATGCATTTTATAGTTCCAAAAAAGTTAAATGTGTGATAATTTTTTTTTTAGATTTTTGAGTTGTGAGATTTGGCTTAAAAAAAAAAAAAAAAAAAAAAACTGTTTTTATAGACCTTTTTGAGGGATGTAATGTAAACAAAAACAATGGTCACAACATATTTCCTGTTTTACATTTTTTATTCCTTTACCTTCTGAGTATCCTAAAAGAGCCACATGTTGATAAATAATGTTATGATAGCAGTTTTAACATTAAGTTTTGATTGAATTGCCTCTTGGTACAGTTATGAAATAGTTTCATAACAAGCAGGAAATGTTCATTGGCCAATGACATGACCACCTTGAAATGGTCTATAATAAGGTTCATCGGAAACAAAAAAAAAATGTTTAACAAAAAAATGTTTAACCATTTACTGCATTTTACATGATGACAATATAAATTATCTTGATTTTTATCATATGTGACAGTGAAAATGCAACGTCACGTCAACACCCCATGTATAGTTTGTTCTTGAAGACTGTTGCTGGTGTATTAATCCACTTAATGCCTTGTCATAATTGTGGTTTTCTTTGATTCGTGCCAGTGAGTTGGTTCAAATATTCAATGCTGGTATATTTAATGCCAACATGTTAATATGCAGTCAAAGTTTACAAATGTAGGCCATTTAATTGGAATCATTTCGAGTTTAATGGACTTGAACCAACATCCCTTGGAGCTGTATGGCCCAGATATGTCTAGATCACTAACTTTTTAGCATGAGAGATCTGCAAAACGGCTCATAAATCTTGTGACATGGCTTAGTGGTTGAAGTTCTGAACCGGTAAGCCAAAGGTTGTGGGTTTAAACCCCAGAAGGTACGATTCAGGAGCTCAATCTGGGTAAAATATGTACCTGGAGTTACTGCAGATGAGAAAGTGGCTGCTAAATGAATAATGTTCTTGTCATGTGAAGTATTGACTCATGAGGGCTGCGTTTGACTTTGTACATATATCATTTGTAAGCCCTGAAGTTTATGTCTTTTACTAGCATTCTTGTATCATCTTTCTTCTTTTTAGTCTTTCCTGACCGATGCAGCATCAGCCTGGCGGCGGTGGGCGACACTCAGAAACACAATGACCGCATTGCATTCTGGGAAGATGTGTACGGCTTCAAAATGACGTGCATGAAGAAGGCTGTGATACCAGAGGCAGTGGTGGAGGTCTTGAAGCCTGAGACGGTCATTTCAGAGTCTGCAGTGATCAAGGTTAGTAGGAAAGATCCTGTTAGGGGACTTTCTAGAAATGTTTGAAGAGATTTATGAGAAAGGGATTTGTTAAATCTAGATGTCTTCAAACGGGTAAATGTTGCATGTTGTCTATTAAGATTCAATGGTGGAAAAATAGTGACGAATAAAGGGATGTAAATGGAAGAATGTGACTCATGTTGACAAAATTGGTAACAGTTAAAAGTTTGTTAGAAATTAGTAGATATTTGTTATTTTTGTTTTAGTTTCACAGAAATAACAGAGCTACTCTTGTTTGAAGTCAAAGGAGTCAGCGTTTTAGAAAATGTTGACAATCACATGTATCCAAAATTTTGATTTAGTACGACGCAACAAAATATTTTTTTTGTGCACCAAACTAGCTTAGGATTATTGTTTGACATAGAAGACTAACTACTTTATTATATTTTAAAATATGTTTAAATGCAAAACTGTCATGCGTAATTCTCAAGTCAGGTCATCTTTATTTCTACATGGCTTTAGATTCCATAGAGGATTGTGTAAAGGCTGATTTATACTTTCGCCTGGTGCCATGTCGCAGACCTCCGCTGACTGGGCACCCACCTCACGAAATGAACAAGGCTTTTATACTTGACGCGTTCACCTTTGGGTTATTCTTTAAAACGATAGGGGGTGGTCAAAAGAAGTCCACAGAGGTGTAGAAAGTTTCCGGAACTGCGTCATATCATTAATATCTTTCAAGATTTTTTAACTAATTTTTTTTATAATTTATTTTAATGATTAAGCATTTTTATAATCTTTCAAGATTTATTTAAATCAAAGTTTGATGCATCACTTGCTTTTGTTCATATCTCAGACAGTTCTACCTATTAAAGTTAAATATCAATGACAAGAGAACATGAGTTGCTCTACAAATATATATATTTTATTATGACAAGAATAAAAGCCAAAAAAGTACACTTACTAAAAAATACTGACTTTTTAAAATAGATTTAGCCCGCTCCACAATTCACAAATTACTGTCTGGCTATTTTGTGTTCTACTTATTAGCTAAAAAGGCAGTAATCGTCCAATATTCCTGACCATTGTCACCAATAAAGCCTAGAAAAATAGGGCATCAATATGTTATAAATCGATAAGGTCAAATATTCTTTTCCAGTTATAAAGAAATAATTTGTTACTTCATTTTAGATTTGTAAATATAAAATTGTTTTGAATTCAAAATTGTAATTTGTATGTGATAATAGATCTGCCTAAGACAAATTTCCTCTCTGGGAAATTTAAAGTTTATCCTACTATACTATACTATACTATACTATACTATACTATACTATACTATACTATACATGAGCAGTATCACATAAGTAGTGTGATGTGGCTGTATATCGGCACTGGTGGGACTATATACAGCCACTTTGCAGTGCTACAAGTGCGATATTGCATTTATACAACAGTTTGATGACATAATCGTGTATATAAAAAAAGAAAATCAAACACAGAGACGGAGAGTCTCAAAATCCTATATAAGAAGAACTACTTCCGTCATTCTTTCATATCTGTAGCTGATGTCAGAACAGCAGAAACCTTTGCTCATTCACCAACATTACTTTTAAGTTAGTATTTGAATGATTCTCAAGCGTAATGTCTAAAGTGATGACACAACAGCTGATTTTCCTCACATTTAAATTTTATAAGGCTGAATTGCATGAAATGCCATCAGTTTACAGAGATTTCCCACACTGTAAAAAGTGATTAGTTACCTAAAGCAAGTAAACCAATTGCCCTAAAAGCAACAAGTTGACTTTACAAAAATAATGTAAGTAAACCTATTGTTACTCGGAACTGTTAAGTTGATATAATTTTTATAACTATGCTAATGGTACCTCCTTTATTTAGGTCAACAAATCACACGTCTGTTTTCAAATAATTTCTGTAATTATCAAAATATCACATATTTGGTGCTTTATTAAGTCTATAAAATCTACAATTATAGCCTGTATTGAATTTATAAGACGCACTGGAGTCTGGAAGAGCACATTTATTTTACTGTATGTCATTTTGTGTTTGACTTACAATGGGTTTACTTACATTATTTTTTGTAAAGTCAACTTATTGATTTTAAGACAATTGATTTACTCTAAGTAACTAATCATTTTTTTCAGTGCATTATTTCTTTGTTGCATTTGGGAGATCACAATATTACAATAGTATAAATACAGCACTACAACATACAGAGAGAGATCAACTTTGAAAGTCATTTTCCTGTTTAATAACGATTTGATCAGCTGTGGTTTAAAATTAAGCTGTATTTTCTCCTTTAGGGCTTATTATTCGGTCTCTATTGCCATCTTGTGGATGAACATCGTCAACCGTCTTTGCTCAAAGACAAGCTAATGGCTGTTGACGCACTGTCTCTCAGAAATAAATATTTAAAATAGGCACTATCCTTACAAATAAACTGCATAGTTGCAATCTAAAAAACTACATTCTCCATACCAGAAGGCCTCAAAAGTACTTTATGTTGTCCAACAGCTGCAATATTTGTTAAACTGTAAAGGCTGGACGAGTTTTGTTACTGGCAGAATATAGCAAGGCTATCAGCCAATCAGATTCAAGAACCAGACAGAACTGCTGTATCATATACTATAACAAACAACACATATTATGTAAGTTCATGAAGTATTTCTAAACATGTAAATATGCAATTTCCACACTTGTAAAGTGTTAGAAAAGTTTGAAAATCTGCTTGAAAAGTGTTTGAGAAGTGCTTAATTTTGACTTTAGAAAAGGTGTAAAATCCTTGTACAGAAAGTGATGGTAATAATATTATATTATTATATAATAATTTAATAATATTTCACCAGCATTAATGTTTTAGTGCAATTTTAAGGAAATAATTGTAAGCAAGGCTTTAAAAATAGTGATCTTTTAAATTGTTCATTGTACAGTAGCACAGATATTGTTAAGTGACAGTTAAAAGAAAAATTGCCATCATGTGTTGACTCCATGATTTTCCATAGAAAGCCTACATTTCTGCATTTTTTCATAACAGATGTAGTAACGCTTTATTTTTTTAGATGAACTATCCCTACATTTTTGACTAATCTCGATCGTAATCCCCTCCTTTTAACTAAATAATGGCTGCTGTCTTATTGGATTTGGTGCAAATCATTAGTTCACCTGAATCCCTAATTAATTGAGTCTGGGCTGGACAGAAAGCCAATTTCCTGCGTTGTGGCCTTGTTTAGAGACAGAGGGAGGAGGAGTAAGAGCGCAGGTATTATCAAGCAGAAGATGAAGAGACAGATTGTGAGCGCAGGGACGTGAGGGAAGAAGTAAAGCCTCGGAGAACGTCTGTGACAGAACCGCTGATTGATTATTCTAATCCTTGTTTAAAGTCTTTCTTGGTAAACTTCATTACTTAGCATTGCTGTGGCCTTGGGTCCACTTACAAACACTTAGAAGAAACACACACGCACATAAATGCTCTGTTCGTACTTGGATTTCTGTATTTTTCTCATTTGACATCTAATAAATATTTGGAAGTTTGAAGATGCCACTAATGATTCTGAAATTTATAAAAAGGAATGCTAAAAGAGACTATACCTTTTTATTTAAGTGTATTGAACATAAAACAAATAAGTTGTCCCAAAAAAATTAAGAATTGTGTTGTTTCTGCTAATTTTAAATAAATAGTTTGAACAAGCAGCAAATTCATTTTTGGAGTTTATTCATTAATTTTCCTTTCGGCTTAGTCCCTTTATTATTCAGGGGTTGCCACAGCAGAATGAACCGCTAACTTATCCAGCATATGCTTTAGGCATGACCCAGTTGAATGCTAACTGACCCAGCCGAGGCTCGAACCAGCAACCTTCTAGCTGTGAGGCGACAGCTCTACCCACTGCTACCCACTGCCCCTTTGGAGTTTGTGTTAAAAATTTATTAATTTTAGATGGTCATTTCTTAGTTAATGTTTAATATCTCACTATATCAAATGTCCTAACTTAACGAATAAAACTACATTAAAGGGATAGTTCATCCAAAAATGAAATTGTAATCATTTACTCCCCCTTAACTAATTTCAAACCTTTGTGACTTTTTTTTGCTGAACACAAAAGAAGATATTTTAAAGAAAGTCGTAAATCTGTAACCACTGACTTTCATAGTATTTGTTTATCCTACAATAAAATAGTTACAGATTTTAAGCTTTCTTCAAAATATCTTGTATTTTGTGTTTAACAGAAGAAAGATAGTGTTATTTAACATGATTGAAATCTTAATTTTTTTTGCAAATGTACCTATTTCTCACTTTTGATTTCAATACATTAACTAACTGTACTAGTAAGACTTTATTATGAAGAGTTACTAGTTGTACTTTATAATAGTTTAGAGTGATTATAGCTGAAATGTGATAAAACTGTTGCTGCAATATTTGACATGAAAAATTAAGTGTAGTCTTTATATATATATATATATATATATATATATATATATATATATATAAATATATGTGGCCGTTGTGTGTTCAGGGACGGCGCCTGCATTGAGGCAACCTGCCGAATAGTGAGCGAACCCACCGGTCCTCACTTTCATCCGCTACACCCACCCCTTTCATCCGCAAACTTTCGACTTCATTTTCGAGTTGAGGGCGGCGTGATTGCCTTTTGCCTAGAGTGCCAGTTCAGACTGCTCTGGTCCTTCGTGTGTTTAACGTGGCATCACCAGGCTATCCTGCGTTTCCTCCAGAGTTTCATGCAATTTCGGGTGTTTAATTTTTATTCTTTAGACTTTAACTACAGTTTAGCAGTTTACTTTCATTCAGGATATTTTCATTCAGGATGTTTTATTGGAATTTGATACCGCATGGAGAACGGAAATAAAAACCTCCTCATTTCGGGACTCGGGTTACTTAAGGTAATCAAAATTTGCGATAGACTCTTAATTACGCCTGTTTCACACCGCAAGCGTCAGCGGCGCGTGAGCAGAGCGTGAGCAGCGCGTTTGTCGAGCAGTAGCAGCAC